AAAAGAAAACGAAAGAGAGCAACGGTCAAACAAATATATATATATATTTATAAGCAATGGTGACATTCTTTTCTTTTTTTGTTTTTATAATATCTTAAAGAACAAAAATTATTCAAATGAATGCATGTAATCTAAGATAATATTTTATTACAAGATTTTTATAATGGATTAATCTATATGTATTCTACTTTGCTGATCAGTCAATCAAATTGCCCGAAGGTTATAAAATTAAAAATAACATTCAAAATTTTGTATAATTAGCATTTTATTGATTGAATTCTTCAATTTAATTCTTAATGAAAATGCTTTGATGTAAATCGAAAAAAAAATCTTCTTGCGTTATCAGACCGTATAAAGCAATTTTTACTAAAAATGAATGGTGAGATTCTATTCCTTACATTCAATAAATCTTTAGCTTCCAAAAAGTAGCATATTTTTTACGATTTTACTGAAAATTTATGCAGTAAAAATTCTTTCAATATAAATCGATCCTGTGTTCTCATCTTTTTTAGATAGTAAAAATCACAAATCATTACCTTATTACTATGATAAACTGATTTAAAAAAGAAAGATGATGTAGATATGTATACATGCACTGTTAGTATTCTTTTTATCTCTTTCCACTTGTTTTTTTTCATGATAAAGTATAAAATATGTGTATTGTATGCGTATATAATTTGATTAATGTATGTGTGAAGAAAAAGTTTATTCTGTAAAAGAATTCAAGGAATAGATAAAATTCATATTGAATTTTTATTATGAAGCTTAGAAAAATCCAGAATTCTTTTAATGAGTCAAATTTTTTAACTAATATTATTACTACAAATTATAAATATACTGAAGGTTAAGATTGGTATGCGAAGTAGAGAAGAGATTAATGAAAGATCAATAAGTCATGCCTATTTTACATTATATGAATAATACAGACAAAAGGTAATGATTATAACATAAGAGAACCCCTGTTGATATTCTCTTTTTACGATTATTTTTAAGTTGAACTATGTTACTAAAACAAGATCTTTTCCAAATATTTAAAATATTCAATGTGTTGTAGTTCGGATAGACTAGAAAAATACATTTGGAATTGATGTTATGTATAATGACATATATTAAAAAAGGCTTTTCCTATCGCGAACTAGTGTCATAGCTATGTCCTCTATAAAAGAATTCTTAAATTTTGATATCGCTACAGAATAGCATTGAAAACAGATAATTTGTTTCGGTACTAATAGTTAATTGTCCACATGATTGTAACAATATAATTGGTTAACAGAGATTTATTTTCAGACAAAAAAGTGTAATGATTGTAAAAGACTGTCATCTATCGTATTATTAAATAATATGATATCCAATAAAATACATCATAGCAGCTGTAAAATATTAGACTAACAAACTACAAAATATATATTTTTCAACTTATTATTATGCAAGAATAGTTATTCTTTTACAATATAATATTTTTAGATCTAGACACGAGTTGTGTGTGCAATGGCAGAAGCATTACCATCATCATTTGAAGATTGGATTCGAACATTACTTAACGATTTACAACAAAATAATACAGATATGAGTGATATTGTTCAGTATTTATTAGGTATTGTTACAAGTGATAGCGAGACTGATGAAGAAAAACAAGTAACCATTGTAGAATTACTCGCTGATCTTGATTTAAAAGTAAAAAATTCATCTTTACAAAAAACAGTATAAAATATTAAGATATATCAATCTTATATTTATTAGCATGATCATGATATAGAAAAGCTTAGTCAACAAATACTTGATCGTTGGAATCAATCACAAAATGATAATGCTGAACAAAAAAATTCTATTGCCAAACCAGTAGGTAATAAATGTTACACTCGTTGATAAATTAAAATCTTAGCAAAAATAAATTTTAAAATAAAATATGATATTATTTAGCTGCTAATACAGACGATGATGTTATCAACACAGTATTGATTAATGCTATGAATCAAATGGAATCAACAAGTAAACAACACAAATCTTATATTGATCATAATTCAAACAAATTAAATGATGATGCTGCATCGAAAAAACATAAATCTCAAGTATTAGCTAAATATTCTGAAGTATCCGATGAAGAATTTGATTATGGAAATGATTCTGAAACAACTGGTAATGGTTTATTTCACAATACGAATTCACAAGATATCGAAGATCGAGAAAAACAATCACGAGATATGCAACAAGAAGTAAAGTTCTATAATTTTATTTAGAATTTATTTCCAAAACAAATTATATTTTAGGTACATAAACAAAAACAAGAAAAAAATAAAGTCGATGCTGTTAATCAAAAACAAAAGGATGAAGATAGAAAAAAGAAAGCACAACAACGTGCCCAGAAACAAGAAAGACGACGCTAAGAACATTTATTTGTTTCGTGTCCTTTGTTTTTTGATTTGTTGTGTTCTCAAAATACATAAATAAATAAAAACTGATATTTATATTCTATTTTAGAATCTTGTGCAAAACACAATATTTTTGATAGTTGTTGAACTGTGTTTACTCCGTTGTGGTCGAGACTATTCTTACTAGTGCATCTATTTGAAAGTTTTTCTTTCCTACTTTCTGAGAAATTCAGTACTAAGGTATGAAGAAGAATAAATAAAATCTTTTATGTAATTGATATTGTTCAACTGTGAGTCTTTGATTTTCTGAACATTAAAACCCTTTTGACATTCGATTTAATTATTTTTAGATAAAAATAAACTATGAATTTATTAATACGAACACTCGTCTCTCGACAATCTCCTCTATTAATTTGTCGTCGTCAATTAGCTACAGAAAAGCATCGTCGAGCATTTCGTTCATCTGATATAATGGATAAACTACGTTCTTCGATGCCTTCATCTCCTCGTACGAATAATCAACGTTCATTTGGTCCTATTAATGAAAGAAATGTTATTCTTGGAATAATTGCTGCTAATGGATTGGTTTTTGCAACATGGAAATTTTCCTATGCAAATCTTCGATCGAACCAAGATCAACGTCTTTTATGGTTTATGACAAAAAATTTTAGTATGGTATATTAGAAAATGATCAACAAGTAAACATTTTATTTTTTAGTGGTATCTTGGGATGGTGTAGTTCGAGATAAACGTATATGGACTCTTCTTACTTCGGCATTCAGTCATTTTGATTTAACACATTTTTTGATTAATAATCTTGTTTTATATAGTTTTGGTAATAGAGAATTTTCTTTTTGTATGTATATAATGATATTTGTATATAGGTCCACTTGTTCTAAATTATATTGGTTTAAAAGCATTTTTTGAATTATTTATTTACAGCGCAGTTGGATGTTCACTTGCTCATATTTTGTATCAGAAATTTTATGATCGAAAACCTAGTTTACCAGCTGTTGGAGCATCAGGTTTGTTGTAGAATATGTTTTCAATGATAATCTCCATTGTTTATTATAGGTGTAACAATGGGTATGACAATGCTCTATGCATTTATTCGTCCATTCGATTCTGTTCTTCTATTTTTTATTATACCAATGCCAGTAATTGTTGCCGTAGGAGCATTTGTTGCGTATGATCTTTATCGAGCTGTAACACATCGACAAGGAAATATTGGATCAGCAGGACATCTTGGCGGTGCGCTTGCTGGTACTTTATATTATTTATTAAAAATTCGTGGACGATTCTAAGTGGGGATATTCATCAAATAAAATGTAGAAATAGTGTTTATTTACTGTAAATTGATTAACCAAAAAAAAACATTTTGAATAAACTATTCAAACATAAAGAAATTATTTTGTAACCAAACTAAATAATAAATAGTAATGTCTATTTGCAACCTATGATATCTCACATTCATGTCTATTTACTTTGAAATGTTGTTAACATACCATTCGTTATATGACTAATTGTTAAATACTTGAGAATTAATTGGCAAAAAAATGCTATATATATATATGTATGAATATAAGAACTTTGATCATTACTGTTTTGTAAGATGTATCTTCTATGTATTTTTTTCTCCTGTATTGTTTTATTTCAAACAAATGTTTTTGCTGAATTAAGTTCAAGTTCTTGTACTCTACTTCGTACAGCTAATAGTTTGACAACAATTGTACCGGAAATAGCTCAACTTGCTATGCGTTTTTATCGTGCTTCATCATTGATATCTAATCAACATCATCGACAAAAACGTTTCTTATCAAATGGAAATATTGGAAAAAGTAGTAGTTCTGGTAATGTTAAAGGTACTGTAGTTGAACAAATAATGGCTAATACATTTCGTGATGTTAATTTTACTAATGTTGCAATATTAATGTTAAATAATAATGAAACAATGAATAAAATTCGACAAAATATTGATAATGATGCAATTATTCGTATAATAATGCGTGAAATTGATTATGAAAAATTAGGTAAAGGCCTATGGTCTACATTTGAAAGTAAATTTAATTTAGAAGATTTTATTACAAATCTTATTAATATAACTCAACTTGATGTAATTCATCATGAACTTCTTTCAAATGGTACATTACCTGAATGGTTATTAAAAAATCTAAATCCAAATTTAAATATTCAAATAATCGAAAGAATATTTT